TCCTTATATGCGAATTGGTCAGATTTTATTAATTGTTTTAGTTCTGATGAGATCTCTTTTTTAAACACTATTCTTTCGAACAATCTCATTATTACGTTCGTAAGAGATATAGGCCTTAATTGTGTACATTCTATAAGGGGGCTTTCCTTAGGTATTGGATTAAGATTGGCTAATTTCCATAGGAGGGGAACGCGTTGCTGTTCCAATGACATGTTAAATATCTTTGTTATCACTGGGGCTAGATATTTTGCAAAGTCTTTCCATACCCAATAGGGTAGGCCATCAGGACCTGTTGATGTTTTCTTTTGTTTTTCCAAAAACCTTTCTACAGTGGGTATATCAACATTTGGTACTCTAGTCTCGTTGGGTATAGGAACGAGTTCAGGATATGTATAATTATCATCAGTGTTTATTGTCTGGAAATAACTATTTATAACACTTGGATCAATATTTATACTGGTGTGATTTGCCTTCCTACCGGTGATTTTATTAACTGTGTCCCACCATTTCTTCGATCCAGATGCATATTTCCCATTCTCCTTCTTAACTTCACTAACCATATTTTCTCGGATAAGTTTATTTATCTTTCTTTGTAGATCTTCGTTAACTCCTTTCCTCACACTTTTATTGCGTATTTTACATAAATGTTTTACCAGAGGAGACATGTATGGGGGATCCCGTGTGGATAATTTTATCTTAATCAATGGAAAACTGTTGTTGAATGCAGAAGTGATAACATGATTTAATAACATAACTGATTCGTTCACGTCTTCACAGTCATCAATACAGCTCCAGTCTTGTGCTTCCAACTCTCTCACCATAGCAAACTTTCGATGGTCTCTTGCATCTCTAAAATAAACTGTTTTTCTTTCCGGTTTTACAGCTACCCGTGGAGTTATCACGACAGCCAAATGATCAGATTTTACTAAGCCATCAAAGACTCTAGGGTGATTCCATAAGTGTGGACAGTTAGTTAGGAAAATGTCAAGTATTTTCTGACCTCTTGTAGGTTTTCTCACCATTTGTTCCATATTATGTTGACTTATAATATCCTTAACCTTCAGTTGATTAACATCTCCTCCAATTATAATTCTGGCATTTGATTCCCACTGAAGAATTTGCTCTATACTCTCTGATAAATGATTTAGTAATTCGCTTTCCTGATATGTGGGGTCCGGAGGGTGATACACAGAGGCGACATAGTATTTGCTATTTGCTGTCTCAATTTCACACCAGATGCATTCCAAATTATTTTGAAAGTTTAGAGATTTACATTTCCAATCTTCCCGACAAATTATAGCAACACCTCCTCCATTTCGACCATCGCCGCGATCTTTTCTTACAATAAGATAGTTATTGGGACATACTAAATTTGATAATATCTTACTGTTCAACCATGTCTCGCACACGAAGCAGATGTCAATTTCCCATGTAGAGAGCTCAACATCCAACGCAGAAACTGCCTGAGGTTTGGCAAGAGAACGTGCATTTATAACCATGCATTTGGGTATGATCTTTTGCGTAGGAGGACCATTTCTGTGTGTTTTGATATGTGAAATTTATGTGAAATTTGTCGACGAAATATTGTTATGATACAAAGTAAAACATGGAAATACAAAGATGGGTATTTTCACTTTCAACTGATACAATAACTATTTTAAACTTTTTGGTCAATTTACATCATTTAAGTTATGAAAGTCACAGTTTGAGCTAGTGAGTTATACAGTATAACGGCAACATTTTCCGTTCCAGGAAAGGTTGGAGTACTGCGCATGCGGCAAAGAGAAACAAGATGGATAAAAAATGAATAAGTATGCAGAACCATCTTATGCCGACAATAAGTATGATTATACTTTTAAATATCGGATCGACGGAACGATTTAAGAACAGTCCCTGTCGAGCTTGGTGTATGCTATAATGAAAGAGTTATAATAATAGTTTTTAGCGATACAAGAACTCAGACACTAAGATTTTATTAGTATATATATTATAATATATTTATTTTATTAGTGGCCTAGATACAAAAGCCTGCAAAGGTTTCCAGTAGGTCTCTATAGCTAGCCTGCGCGCAGACTATATAATGACATATATATAGTCCAGCATGAGCTCCACCTTTGAATTTACCATATGAGTAAATTCTTAAACACGTCCGAATTTATCATTATGATAAATTCGCGGCAAATTTTGAATTTATCATAATAATAAATTCGCGGCACCTAACACTAACCCTAACCCCAACCCTAACCACTAACCCCTAACCCTAACCACTAACCCTCATTTTTTAAACTTTTTAAATTTTTTTAACTTTTTTAAAAATCTAACTTTTTAAACTTTTCTTGCTTTTCAAAACTCTTTTAAAACTTTTTAAAAATTTTTAAAAACTATTTTTTTAATATTTCGAGTGTTGAACATGATATCTCACGAGTGAGCGCAGCGAACGAGTGAGATATCGTGTTCAACACGAGAAATAAATCTGGTATTTCCAAGCACCCATGTATTTTTCTGTTTATTATGTAAAGGACAGTCTTTGAAAACCGATAATTTTTACAGAAAAGCGATAAATGAAAAGCGATAATTTAATAATTTTCACATGTGAGATTATCATAAATAATCTCACATGCATGTGAGATTATCACTTTTATCAGTGCTCGAAATCTCTATATACTATAAAGCACTATACTTTATATAACAATAAATAATAATAATAGTATTCATATACTTTGGGGAAATTTTGGGAGACTATACAGGGTGCATGTCATAGTGCATGTCTAAAAAAAACGCAATGTAAATTCAACATGCAGGCTGTCGTGCATCACAATTCAATTTTTACATGGGACGAAAGAACAGTTATTTGGCTTTTCTATGATACTCTTTTTAAATCGTAACGATGAGAAATATAAATTCGTCAAATGCCGGTCGAAATCACATTCTTCCACCGTTGGGAATTGCATGGAAAACGAAACATAAACAATTCCCAAATGAGCTCATGCTCATAATATCTAAAATGAACTCAACTCGTCAATCTTCGTCTTAGTGAGACAACTGAATAAGACCGTCCATTAAACATGGTTTAATTAACCACTGCATGAACAGAGAACATTCATAATCAAAAGCTTTACGAAACAGACAGCTTGCAGCAGACTCGCGATGCTTTTGGATTGATTACTAACTTTATGTATAAAAAAAGATAATCTAACTGATTTGGCATCTAACTTTTTTCGTATCAATAAAGATCAGTCGATCAGATCTGCCGCTCATATACCAAGTAACACCTTTCTTCCATCACTGCGAACAAAACTATAGCCAAATACGAAACGGTTAAAAGCCACAGTGCCTAAAAATATTCTTTCAATTTTTGGGGTTATTTTCCGACATAATGGAGGTTGCTCATGGGTCGTAAGCAGCAGTTTCTGTTGAAAAACGCGGCACACGCTGATTAAGACTGTCCACGTACTGTACACGTTTCCCAATTCTTGCGTTTTCAAAATCAGTCCAATCTGGCCGATTCTGGCGACCGTTTTCAAAGATACGTATTCGCCAGATATGTGTGGACGGAAAGCGAATCCGTAATGTTTACGTATTCCCTATTCAAACGAATTCGGGTAATCGTTCCATGTTTCGCGCACCAATATAGTAAACGTTATGTAATGGATATTATAGTGTATTGAAAAGTTCACTAGATACCTCCATACACATATATATACACACCCTAACCCTAACCACAACCTTAAACCTAACCCCTAACCTAACCCCTAACCCTAAAAAGTCTAATACCTAACCCTAACCTATATTGGTGCGCGAAACATGGAATGATAACCCGAATTCGGATAAATGCATGGGCAGTCTAGATCTCAGGCCATATCTCAGTTCCTTCCACTGTACGGATATTCGAGCATACAGCATACATGTCATGATTGTCATCTGTCCTTTTGAGCATTGAGTTTCATTATTCGCATCAGAGCAAAGACGGAAAGGTTTACGGTCTTCAATCGACCCGGGCAAGTTTGATCACAGCGCTGGATCCCGATCTACGAACAAAGAAAAGGAAATACTTTCAAAAGGACTTAACTATAAGACGTTGAAAGATATGATCGCGCTGTCTGGCTATCGCATAGCTCTCCAGTCGTGATTTAAAGGAAAAGAACATTGTTTTTCCTTCGACACTTTGTCTTTGACTTTGTGCTGGAATTTATATGTCTAGATTTAAACTCCATTTTATTCTTCAAACCTTTAGATTGTCTTAAATAATTAATTACCCCAATTGCCTTAATTGCCCCAAGAAAGTGAGAGAAACAGCATACAAATACATATTGTACGACCCAAGCTAGCCTGCGTAGCAGGCGTTTAGTGCAGGCGGGAGAAGAAAGGGCGTCGTTAAATATGCATCAACAGCCTGGTATCCTTGTATTAACAAGGACAAAGTGGCTTTGCAAAGAGTACAGAGAAAAGCATGTCAAGTGTCACTGATATGATCAAAGATCTAAATTGGGAAAGTTTAGAAGTTAGAAGAAGGAAAGCTAGATTGACATTGTTGTACAAATTCTCTCGGAATCTTGTAGACGTTGAAACAATGATATAATTACTTGCTGGTAAATAATGAAACCAGAACTCGTGGTAGCCATAGCTATAAATAGCGAGTCCCCAAAACTACCAAAGATGTCTTTAAATTTTCCTTTTTCCCTCGCACGATTAGGGAATGGTTCCCGAAGAAATTGTGAGCTCAGAAAATTTCCTCCAGTTTAGAAACAATTTAAGCAATTCTTTTTAATAACAGTATTCAGTAAATATTGTTGTAAATATAGATTTTTAGAATAGGTATGGACTATAGTTATAAATAGTTGGTGTGATATTCGAAAGGATTTTACCGACCACACATATAGATGTCAGTGCTCATTTTTTCGCCATGGTTATACGCTGGGAGCCACGCTGCACGTATTCTTGTTTCCAGGCATAACATCGAATCGACACAATATTGGTGATATATTACTTTTGTGAGATATTTTTACTTTGGTTGCTAAATAAATACGCACTTCTTCCAGGGATGGATTTACTGGGGGTGCGGGGGGCCCTAGCCATGGCCAGGGGGTGCTATTTTTCATGATAAAGCAAAAAATTATTAGAGACAAAATGAGATTCAGTAATTTGAGTAATACCATGATGACAAGCAAACTGTGAACAATAATTACAATTCAAATACTGTAGTCAAGCAAGACTTTGCAGTAGTGGAGCAAGTTGATGGACGACTAAAGTAACTGGAAAGCAATTGCAACGTACTCGTCCGGAAAATTTTTTGCCGGAAAATAGGGCCCCCTAAGAAAATTTGCACCCCCCGCCCCCCTCCCTACCTGATCATGCTGGATCCATCCCTGACTTCTTCACATCTCACTCTCTCTATCTTTCTCTGTTTTCCACTTCAAACATATCGCGGCGAAGTGTAGCGTATACATTAGAGGTGCATGTGCATCGGATCGGACGTTTATAATCCGACAATTGGCTGTTTTAAAATCCGATCCGAAATTGTCTAATCCGATCCGAGTTGTAATAAAGTATTCCAATCCGATCCGATGAATTCCGTTATTAAAATAAATTTTTCATTCACGTTGAAATGTTTAACCAAATCAATATAATAACAAGAAATACATGTCAAGAAGCTAACAAAGTGACGTCCAATTGAAGTATATATCAAACGAAAAATGCAGCGACAACCGCGATAATGCTTTGATAAATGCATGGATAATTAATTCTTGCAATAATACGTGGATAATTAATTCATTTTATTTCGAATATCGAAGTCCGATCCGACTGCGAAACAACTTTATCAATCCGATATGTATATTTTTGTTCCGAAATCCGAACCGGCGAATCGGATCGGATATGCACACCTCTAGTATGCATGTATATTTGTTTCGTGAGCACTCAGAATTAATGTCTTTGAAACAAAGAAGTGCGTTCACGTTGTGTTTCGTTTCGATTGGAAATCAGGCTTTAGGCCAAATAAAAAAAAATAGTTGGTTAGCGTCACACTCTCACAAATTTTCAGAGGCGGGAGGGCGTTTTTTTTAAAAGTTTTACTCGTTTTTTAAATTTTTGAATAGTATTTTTTGGGGGGATGGGGGTGGTTTTTCCACCATATCGGTGATATTTTTTGTACTGATGTTGCGAAGACGCCATTTTGCTATAAGAACCTTGTACAACCTTGTACCCAAGCCCACGCGCTCCTATCGATCAGTATATAGCGCATTCTCGTACCCAGAGCCCTTCTTACGCGCGTTCGACCGAGCCCGACGAGGGGCTCTGGCCAAATCCATAACCGGATACCATAAAAACATGGTATCCGGTTAAACACTGCGCATGCTCAACGTCAAACGCGGATAAACAATTCGGTTTTCTTGTTAGTTGCTGGGGCACCTGTGCCAGCAACTATAGGTTTCGGGTGAAATTAGTCTCCTTCTCCATGGATAGTCGCAAAATGGAAATTCCCACTGATCTATATACGAAGCAATACGTGCATACATTTTCGCTATTTTAACGGTCTTAAAGTCTTCGTAAGTGTATAAAGTGAACGTCAAATTGTTCTTTCAATCACACTTTTTCTTCTGGGGGCTTTTTGAAAGAAATCCATCAAGAATATACAGAATTATGTCGACGTTTCACTATCGAGGAGTGGAGTAGATTCCGAGGTGGATTAACTGACAATAACTGTGTTATTTATTCGTCGTACCATTATTTCTGAACGTTTATATTTTTGTTTTGTGAAGTTTTACATCTATATACGCTTTAATATGGCTTATAGTCCTTGTTGCTCCAATAGTCTGCATAAAAATCGTATTTGTTTACATGTATTGGAACTGTCATATTTGCATGCTAGCTCTATTTTCAAGAAGGCTCAAATGTTGGCTGTTTTGAAGTGACACACGAGGTACGTGACACACAATCTTGGATTGGTATTTCTTAGATAGATGGATGTTTTTAATTGATAAACCTTGCAGCCATTGGCTGTATTATGTTAACATTACATAAGGTCCACTTATTATTCTGGTTATAGGACTGAACTATTAGCTTAAAACTCCCATGTTCTTGTTGTAAACTGCATCATGTATTCATGATTTTTGCTTGTAACTTATTTGCTTATTTAATAGATTGCAAACAGAGGGGTCCCCTTGTTAAAAATTTAATGTCAACTTGGGAAGATTAACCTCGCAATATTTTTGCAGATTGCAAAATTTATAATCTATCAGTAATCTGTACCTTTATGATCTAACTATTTGATGATATTTATGTGGCTCTAACATGTAATAGCTTCAATATTTTGGAGTGTATTATTTGATGTTAATTAAGCCCTTTAGTTAAAAATCACCAATTGAAGAATTGCTAGAACCAAAAGCGAATACTGGAACTATTTATATTATTTACCATGTTGCACCCTCAATGCCTGGTTACCCCACGTCTTGTCACCCCCCCTCTTTGAGGGCCCTCTTTGTTAGCGATTCAGTTCTACACCACTGACTGCTAATATAAAGTTATGTAAAATTTTAATGCCAATAGCTCAGGGAGTGCAGTGCTGTGGGAAGCTCTTTTTGATTGGGGAACTGAAAGCAATGGCCAAAGGCCCGAGGAAATTTTTAAATTTAGAGTCTCTGAAATGCCATTTCCTGAACTTTGGGAAAGATTTGATAGAATTCTGATGGTCAGAAAACAGCATTTTAGTATGTCGACGTTTAGTATGTTTAGTATGCATTTTAGTATGTACGGCCCTGAGGTGAAATATAACCACTGTCTATCGCATGCATCAGTTAGGTGCAAAAAGCTAAATTCCGCACCAATAATCAATATATGCGATTGTCCATATCATATAACCCTTTAAGTGGCAATGTACCCTCATGTGACCTACTTTATTATTTTACTGTGTCTAATGCCAAGGATTTTACTCATCAGTGCTGTCACTCAGTGGGTTAATTCACAAACGACTCCTTAGTCCTTAACTGTCTGATAAACAATTTTTGTGTTTTAAAATTTGTTATAAACAAGTTAAAATAAAAATATACAAATCTGTAATTATCCTCAAATATGAATAAGGGGTTATTATAGCCCAAGTATGAACACTTGTGCCACAGTGCCAGCACAAAATGGGCTATTCCAGCTTTCAATTCTGCTGGAATGAGGTGATAAATTTTTAGCTTTGGAATTCCTCAGGGATAAGCAAATATTTTCTGTGTGGAATTCTTTGGGGGTAATCCGGTAATGGATATTTTGAATGAGATTTTCTCAGGGGTCAAATGTAAAAATTGAAATTCTTCCAGGGTCTCTCTTCATGGGTATTAACAGGAATTCTTCAGTGGATCTAGGAATTCGTTGAATATACTCTTACCGCTCGTTGCAAATCACGCAGGCGCCTATTTAAAAAGCCCCAGCAACTTAACGCTCGAGAGAGCGTCTTGTTTTTTCGTTTTGAAAGTTTTACTCCAGGAAAACCCCACAAAAGCGGTAGGTTTCGCTAATTTTATTTAGTTAAATCAATTAGTAGGTAAGACGTGATGTTCTCAATGCATGTTGATAAAAATTTAGTATATATTTCCCTCTTAAACGTTGCCAAAGCAGTAATGGCTACGGATACGAAGACGAGAGATTGTCTCACTATTTTATATTCGATTTTAAGTCGCTGTTGTACAGATTTTTAGACTTTTTTGTGTTTTATTAAAAGTCAACAGTCATACATAAGACATAGTATACTGCAAATCATTTGAAAATTGTAAAAAATCGGTTTCTAGGAAGAAAATAGTCGTCACAATTAACTTCATATTCCGGCTGGCTTTAATATTTTCTCTTCAGATGGCACTTCAGCTTTGAACATGTAATAAGCAATTATTGGATGAGGCTGAGCATGATATCAAGAATTATTCAGACCGAGGTCAATGTTATCTGCCGAAGCGAAGCTGAGGCGGATAACATAGACCGAGGTCTGAATAATTCT